AAAAGCAAGGAGTTGGACTTAATCATCTGTATGAGTCCCTTCCAGCTTGTGATAGTCTATGATTCTGTGATTCTAAGTCTTGACTGATATGCCACTCATAGGAAAATATACCTTAAAAATGGAAAGGGATATAGAAGTGAAGTTCAGTATAAGAGTTGCAGGTTCTTAATGACTGCTGAGTTAAGATTTTTAAGAGGGCTGGAAGTCTTAAAAAAATTAAAAATCAACACCTGATATTTAGACTGTTGAGAAATAGTATCTCTTTTAAGTATTGTCATTTCCAGACACTGTGTCAAGGTATTTGAAACCATTTTCACCATGCCTTCATTCCTATAATGAAGCATATTCCAACTGCAGCAGTTTTGCCCATACAGAGGAAGCTTATAACTAAAAGAAAAGGATATGACTAAACACAAGAGGCAATTAATCAATACCTAAAGCAGATTAGTAAGGAACATATCTGGGAAGGGAAAGTCCAAGTACTAGATAAAATGCCAGGAGGCAAAAGTATTTTACTATCATACTGCTTTACTCCTGTCTGCTGTGACATGTTTACACAAAACCAAGTGACATCTAAATGGCATTACACTGGATGCTTCTCTCATTAGCTTGCTATTCTTGCTTGCTTGTTTTGAGTTCATCACTCCTGTGATTGCAAAATCATTGTAATTTAAGTCTTACTCTGTCACCTTAATGCAGCCCTTTTTCAATGTATAAACTCTGCTTTTTGCTTTGGAGGATGAAGCTGGGTGAAGCTAGAGCTGCTGCTTGCAGTAAGTCGTATAATTGACAAAGAAATACTTGCTGCACCTGGTCAAAGATGGCATGGCTTTTCATTGCTAAATGCCAAAAACCAATACATGAAAAATGTGGTTTAATAATTTGGTTTATTTGAAAATTATTAAACAGCCTTGTGGTGATTATCAGGCTGTGCAATGAAAAAAAAACCCAGGAGTCCCAGCAGAAAGCAGAGCAGACCAAAAGATCCTAAACTAACTCCAACAATCTTATTTCATCTCATATGCTGTTGTTGGACAGATTAAAAAAAGAGAAGTCTTTCAAGAAGGAACACACATACATAAAGTATGGCATTTTATCTTCAAACAGTGAAAGAAATTGTACAAAGGCAATATGCAGCTGGAAATTCCTATATACCTTGCTTCAGACTGACCTCCTGTGTAGACAAACAATGGATAAGTAACAGTCCTGCTGAAGAGTCTGTAAACACTGCTGTGGCTGTACCAGGAAACATTCTTACACCAATTGTTTCAAAATTGAAAAAAAACCACAGTGTGTTCACCTCTCTGGTCTCCTCTTCCTGCCTTGAATTAAAGCCTAACAGTAGATTCTAAACTAATGTAAATATATGTCTCATAGCACTAAATTAAGATAACCATGTTATATGGCACAGAGTGAGAATGTGGGTGATGCCATAAATTCAAAGGAATTTCATGAAAATCTGGGGGAGAAAAATGAATTGCTCAGTATACCTTGATGTAGGCCAAGTTTTAAATTTGTTTTATTGTAATAAAAATGAACATCTAGCAGACTGAAACCATGAAGAGTAACATGATTGAGGTAGTATTTAGCTGAACTAGGAGCCAGATTTCATTAAGCCATAAACCACTCAAATCGTCATACTGAAACATGCTGTATGATGACATAGTAATAATAATATTCATTTGCCAGCTGGAGATTGGTGTACTGTAAAAATGCAGAACTGCTGTTGAAGCACTGTTTCATAGAATCACAGAATATGCCGAGTAGAAGGGACCCTCAAGGATCATTGAGTCTAATTCCCAGCCTCACACAACACTGTCTCCAAGAGTCACACCATGAGCTCAAGAGTATTTTCCAAATTGCTTTTGAACTCTGTCAAGCTTGGTGTTGTGACCATTCCCCTGGGGAGCCTGCTCAGTGCTCAACCTCTCCTCTAGGTGAAGAACCTTTTTCTAATACCCAACCTAAATGCCCCGACACAGCTTCAGGACATTTCTTCATCTCTTGTCAGTTCTTACCACAGAGAAGAAATCAGTGTCTGTCCAAGTCCTTCATGAAGCTGTTGAAGAGCACAGGGCTGAGGATGGAGCCCTGTGGAACCCCCAGTGACAGGTCACTAGTCTGATGTCACCCCATTCACTGTAACCCTTTGTGCCTGACCCCTGAGCCAGCTGCTCACCTGTCACATAACGTGGTTATTCAGCTGTGAGCTGGACATTTTCTCCCGAAGAGCTTTTCAATACTGGAGGGCCAATATTTAAAGCTTTACTGAAATCCAGAAAGATTACATCAACTGACTTCCCTTGGTCAGCTCAGTGGGTTACCTTGTTATGAAAGGAAATCAGGTTTTATAAGCAAGACTTTCCCCTCATGAAGCCATGCTGGTTTTGACCAGTGACTGTGTTGCTCTTCACGTGTTTTTCAATGCCTCCCAAAATAATCTTTGTATAATTTTACTGAACACTGAACGGACAGGCCTGTAGTTTCCCTGGTCCTCTTTCCTGCCCTTTTTGAATACGGGAACAACATTCATCAGCTCCAATCAGCTGCGATGTCTCTGGATTCCCAAGATTGCTCAAAAATCAAGATAGGTTTTGCATTCACATCATCTAATTCTTTGAGGAAGCCCATCAGGTCCCACACATTTGTAGATGTTAAACTTGAGCAGCAGATCCTGCACAACTTCAGGGTCAACTGGGAGTTGCTCATTCTCACAGTCATGGTGAGACCCTCCAGCTGAGGGTACTGAGACCCCCTTGTTAAACCCCTCCATTTGAACAAGAGGCAAAAAATGTGTTAAACCTTCCTGCCTTGTCTCCATCCCTCTCAGCAGATATTTATAATTGCCTCTAATTTGGCATTCCACAGTGATCCAATTCTGTTTTTCTGTGCATGAAGGTCTACTCCAAGTTATAGGAAAGGACTGGACAAATGAATGCATGAAAATAAAATACCCAAAATGGGTAAGAATTCACAGGAATATCAAACAAAATGAAACTTTCTAACATTTTCATCAGCTAAGAGAAAAACTGAGACAGCCATTTTACACAGTTAAAAGGGACAGCTGAGAGAGGGCTTTAACCAACCCTACCCTTTGTTCTTGTTATATTAGTCTTTATTTAATGTATTGGCACAGCTGATTTGTGGTCATTAGCTTAGAACATCTTCACCAGTCTGCTGCCTTTTAACTTCTCCCAGGATGGCTGGAGGAGTGACTTTTATATGAACTGTTACCAAACCAGGCTAAATTATCCCACGCTAAAAGCTGCTCAAGAAAATCTGGGCCTTTGGAAATTACTTTCTCTTAAGAATTTGCTTTATTTCTATAATTCTTTCTCTGTTGCTTCTCATTCTACTAGCATTTTTATAGTCTTTGGGTGAAAACCAAGTTTCTCCACTCTTGCTGGGAAATTTTGACTGTATCTTCAGCTAGTTAAGTGCACTGGCACAAACAGAACAAGATACACACACTCACACACACACACACACACACACAGAGACAGACACACACACAGGTATATACATATCATGCATGTATAATGTACAACATGGTAATCCAACAAAGACTCCAGGGAACATAAAACACCAACTGCAACTGAACTGCATAAATTTTGCTGTCTCAAGTTTGGGAAAACACTAATAAAATGTTGTTGTTCCTTATTCCACTGTGAGATTGCAGGAACAAAGGCACTATTTCTGGAAAAAATACACAAAAAAATTGAGAAAGAGGAGAAGGAGGAAAAAGAGAACTCCAGAGCAAGTCTCCCCTTTTTCTTCTGTGGCTGTAATGGTGCCGTTTTGTTAACTTCAAAATGGAAATAGCTCCATAGTAGCAATACCACAAATTAAATCATTGTGCTCCAACTCCTCAGACCTCATCGCTGTCAGAAATGAAAGGACCGTGTCTGTGCTGTCCAAAGAGTCATTCTTCTGCTGCTAGGAACTGCAGTACTTCTGCAACACTGCAACACTGCCACTTATTCCCTTGCACTAGAGCTCAGCACTGAGATCACCAACTAATTTCACAGAATCTACTCAGTGTATGGTTCAAGGACACAGTTCCCTCCTTGAAAGGATTGCAATAGTTAGATTTTTCACAGAATTTCATAACTTCCTAGCAGTTCTATCACTAGGAGAAGAAATCCTCTCAGCTGAGCTAGAGACCTGTGAATCATGCTGCATTCTACCTGAACCATGCTGAATATGAAATGGCCTCACAAAATAATGCAAGATTTTGGAAATAGGAGTGGTAATTGAGAATAGTTAAATCTGAGAACATACACAAACAAGAAGCAGACTGGCAGTCCTTGTTACAGCTGGGGTAGAATTTATTTCCTCTCAGTAGCTGTTACAGTGCTGTGTTTTGGATTTAGAATAAGAATGGTGTTAATAACACACCAATATTTTGGGTTTTGCTAATAGTGTTTATCCTTAATCAAGGACTCTTTTTCCCTTGTCTCATGCTCTGCCAGCGAAGAGGTATGCAAAAAACCCAACAGACTGGGAGGGAGCATAGCTGGACAGGGGATATTCCAACACCACAGAATGTCATAGCCAGTACATAAACTGGGGGGAGTTACCCAGAAGCTCGGCCAGTCTGGGTTCAGGATCTGGCACCTGTCAGCGGGCAGTGAACAATTGCATTGTGCATCACTTGGTTTTTTCTCTTTTCACTATTCTTCTTCTTCACCACTATTATTGTATTTTACTTTATTTTCAATTATAGAATTGTTCTTAGCTCAACATGCAAGTTTTACTTTGATTTTCCTCCTCTTTCCACTGGATTGCAGGCAGAAGGAAAGGACGGAGGGAGTGGATGTAAGGTGTTTCATTTCCATGGACTTGTGGGCTTAAAACCATGACACCGGCTCATTTATCTGGCCCTGTTTGTACAATTGATTGACAATATAAATACTGAAACAAACAAGTCTGGCTGCCTTCTGGCTGTCCTTATCACACCCAAAATAAAGAAATTTCACCAAAAAGTTTAAAGGAAACTGTTTTACAATAAAACCTTTTTTATTTGATATACCATCACAATTTCTTGCTTAAGTGTTGTATTTTTACAGTATCCTGTGTTACTTCACAATTATAAAATAAAATAGAAAAAATAGTTTCACTCAAGCTTACAAGACTTGTTTATCCAGGACTAACAGTTTCCTATTTCCTATAAAGAGGATTAAAACACTCTGCATGTAGTGCAGACATTGGTATGGATATAAACCAATGAGTTTCTCAATATAGCACATTTCAACATAGCACCATGAAGTAGTACAGATCAGCAGTAAAAGTAAAGTAGATTCAGTTCAATTAACCTTACTTGGCCTGGGTGTGGAAAAAGTATCCAAGGAAGCAGAGAAAAAATTGAAAAAAAAGGGCAAATTTCAGTGTTAACTGAAGGTACTAGAAATGTCTCTAGAATTTCTGGAAACATGAGAATGTGGTTATGACACTGCAATCAGTTCAGCAGAAAAGCAAGGGTCTAACAAAAAAACTGTTAACATTTGCATATCTATCTGAGGATGGCAAGGTTAAACTAGTTTGCTATCCTTTCTACATTTAAGTTAAACAGATACAGGTTGAAGAAAGATAAGTACACATGAAGTAGTAAGTAATAAGATAAACACAGATGAAAATGGCTCACAGCCACAGGTAGGTCTGCCAAGAGTGACAAGGGAGACAGAGGGAATGAGGGAAACTTGCAGAACTGTAGCTGTTGTGAAAAACGGAAGATGAAACAGAGCCTTGCCTCATCTTGTCTCCCTTGTCAGTCCATTCTGGCATTTCAAGAAGCTACACTGTGTAGAGATGACCAAATCAGTCATTAAATATGTTATCTAACAACCAGCAGAAGTATGGATGTTTTGTAAGAAAAAAACTTTGCTCTGAAAACTTTACTTTATGAAAAAGCAACTTAGGTAAATAAGAGGCACACAGAAAAGAAATAACCTACAGAAGATTACACAAAGACCTCCAGTTTTCCAATTATACCCACTGACAAGAGGGACTTTACAGTCCTGATCAAGTGTCGCATACTGGAACTCTGGTTGTTTCAGCAGAGCATTAAAAGAAGTTCAGTTTTTTCACAAAGGATGGCACATCTTCCTCTCTAAATAATTTCCAGCCTCTCCAGCTCTCCCTTACACAGGAACAGCTGCTCATGAACTCTCTCTGAGGACCGGAACAGCAGGAGACTGGAAGTGATGCAGTTCATACTCTATGTTAAACCTTGCAATCTATTCCATTGAGAAAGGGAATTAGGCATGGAATGTGTGTGAATTAATTACACATGAGAAACTGAAAAATTAAGGCATGGTTTCCTAGTATGAACAGTTTAGTTATTCTTTCTCAATTAGCAACAGAAAATGCTATCAACTTTTAATCCCTAATGTAGACAAAGGCGTTACTTAGCTATTAACTAGTAACCTGAAGGACAGCTCTGGAAATGTTGGATAACAGAAATGGTATCTACCCAGACCTGGAAAAAGCACTCTCAGCTGGATGAAGCAAGTGAAAACTCTTTTTGGCTGTAACTCCTCTTTGCTTCTAACCATGAAATCTGCTGTTGCACTTTAAACCCAAAAAGACCCTAATTACATGTTATAGAGAGACAGAACATCTAAAATTATAAGAGCAGTAGGCATCAGAATCTTAGCAATTCAGAAACTTAACAATTACAAAAATGTGCAGCGTATATTTAAAGTGGTAAAACACGACACATAACTCAGGAAAAAAAAAAAAATCACAAAACCAAAACTCCTGCTTTTTTATTTCACTAGTTGACATCTTTTTTGCTAACATATAACAAAGAAACTTCTGAAGATGAGTAGAAATAATCAAAGCCACTTAATTCTTTCTTACAGAAGAAAAAAATGTATTAACTGTGAGTATGCCATAGGAAATTGGTTAATTGTACTTTATTAAGTGACTCTAACCAGAAGTTAGACACCAGCCAGTTAACTAAACACTGATTTAATGGCTTTACTCAGCTGTAATTATAGAACAGAGATTAACAAAACTGCACTTAACACAGGGAAGTCCTTCCTTAAATTAGTTTCACATGCCATTAAAGCAAGAAGCTTTTGAGCAAACTGCAATTTTATAGAGTGGTATATTATTTGCAATTACTGCTAATTGCTATGAGCAATGATTGCAATATCTCTGGAACACATAAGTTGCTGACACTACTTCAGTGTGGCAACTTCAAGGCTAACAAGTGATGTTTGCTTGTAAGTGACAGACAGAAGTGTTCTACCTTTGCAATTGGAAATACAATATGCACTTTACCTCACATAAGGGTAGGTTTGTATTTTTGTTCATAATAGGCCAGTTTACGTGTGCAAAGGTATCTAAAGTAGCAGTTAATCCTCAAACTGATCCAGTCTCAACTGGATCAGGGGATTGTTCATGTAATCAAGCACAATACAAGCACTCATTATCAGGCACTCATGCAGCTGAAAGACTGTGACCAACACATGGGATGCATGATAACCTGCTTATGAGAGAAGGTTCTCCTTTACACACCACACCATCTGGAATAAGGCAAGACAATAAACATCTCACTCCAGTGATAAACACATTTAAACTGTCCATGCTGTAGTACATTTGTGACATGCAGATACCAGACACATGCTGGCTTCAAAAGAAGAGCATGTTTTTTTTTCTAGGCTGACTTCAGGGAATAAACCATCAGAGAAGAGAGACACTTTCAGTCTCTAGGAATGATGATGCAATCCCTGCTTGTGCCATGTCTACTGTGGTAGATAAATGTACAGCTTCACAGGCTACAGCAGCAGGTGGGGGATGCACTGAGCTGTGGAGACAAGAGCTGGAGAGGGAAAAAGTTCTGATTAAAAAAAAATCTTACAAATGATTCAAGGCTCAAGCACAGACCTGACAGGGAACTTGTATTGCTCGTATTGATTGATTGATATATGACAATGCTTCTGAAGGTTTTTGAAGACACATGGTGCTGCTACATATCCTGATCACTACAGCCAGTGTGAGATGGGTAGAAAGCATTCCCACAGGTTATCAGATGATTACCTGACAGTGTTAACCTTGGCATCAACAACACTGATGCCCAGTGCAGATCTTCAGAAATCTAGAGTTCTGGCACTGTCTTTATGCATATGAATCGACATCACATACAAAAGAAAGCAAGAGGAATGGAGCGAGGTGTATGAATGAAGAGCGACTTTAATAATAACAACTATGGGCTAATGCACTTTTTAAAATGAAAAATATAAAATCTAAGGATATCAGAAGTCAGATTTTACTTTGTGAATGCAGTTCCACACTTTTACTTATTAAGGAACAGTTGGAACTGCTGTCAGCAGCCACGCTAGCAGGAATTCACACCCTGACCCATTGTGGAAACATAATTCCTGAGGCAGCAGATATGTGGCAAGCTGGTGAGCACTTGAATACAGTGGCTCTTTGTGACAGAAGCTTACAGGGACCCCAAGAAATAATCCAAGACCATTCACCTGACACCACGGCAAGATCAGCCATAGCTATTTCATTACTGACAAGTTTGTTTAACCTCTTGCTGACCACCCAGAAGCTGCACTCACAACAATTTGTTCCCATGCCTCTCTCTCCTACAATTCAGAAGCACATGGGTATGCCGTACATATGCAATTGGCACTACCAACAGGAGAAAGTTGATCTTTATGTAGCAGAATTTTGTATATTTACATATTATGCTTCTTGGCAAAAATTTCTCTGCCAGGCTAAGCAACCCGCCACTAGAATGCCCTGTTTACATTTAGATTAAATAGATCTCAGGTCTCTCTTATCAAATTCCACTCTCCTTTTCTCCTGCTGGACCACATCTGTCTTGGAATATAGTGTCTAAAACAGGACCATGGTTTTACAACTGGATAGGACATAAGGCTGACTTCACGTGGTTTGTTTTCAAATCACATTCTTATTAAGAAATACTTCAAGCTGATGAATAATTATAACTAAAAGCACATTTCTTATTTAAAATATTACAGATACTTCTTTGTGAGCATTGTGAGCATTATCACAACAGACATCTAGGGTTTCCCTTCTCTGCCTACTGCTGGGATTTTAATTTTTTTTTTTTTTTTCTGTCAATGATTCTGTCTGATATTCCTTAGAACAGGAGAATGGATTAAAAAATTTCTCTGCACATGGGATCAAGGGCCTAAAAGATACTTGATGACTTATTAAGTCCTTGTGCCCTACAATACACCATTATCCAATTTACTCAATGTGATCAGCTCCCTAAGGATTTCATTTTCTCTCACTCCTTTTGAAAGAAGGCTGAAGGGGAAGTTCAGAGTCTATCTTCTCTGCACTCTCTCACATGTGGCTCATACTCATACATGATTCTTCCAGTACTGTCTCATATCTCAAATCACTCTCCAGTCACTGTGAACCTAATTGATTTGACATAGTTTTGAAAAGTGCTAATATCCCTCTGCCACATTTTTGCCAGAGAGACTGAAATAACTAAGAAGCCTTTCATATCATGAGAGCCCAGGAAACCCTTTTCTCCTGCAATAAGTCCTCTGCCAGGAGTCAGCTACTGTAGAAATCAAGACAGTAAAGGCCTCTTCTTTCTCAAATATCAAAGCTGACTCTGACAATGTTTTCAAATTCCCCAGAAACAACCAAGACTGCAAGTTCAAGTTTACCACTGCATTCTGCTGCTAAAGGAAGCCTGAGATCTGTTTATTTAGTTACTTAAAGAAAAATATGAGACCATGGAACCTTTAATTCAGAATTTTGGTTGCAAGAACTGATTTGAAATTTAGACAACCACAAACAATCCAAATAGACCTACTTTCTTCAGTCCTATATACTACTAATTCCTTCTGTTTCAGAGCACCAAATAAGCAGCTTAACCAATCAATGCTATATTTCATAGTCCCCAAGCTGGAGGCTCCTGATTGTTCAAGGGAAATATATCAGAAGACTATTCTTGTAGATATGCATATTGAAACAATAACAAAGACATAGATTTTAGTGAAGAGGTTTTACATGTATGAGGCATTTACAAGTACATGACTTGCATATTTGTTTTAACTTTGAAAGAAAGACAGTTATGAAGTTATTGACCCTGCTTGAATGATCATGAAACATGAATTAATAAATCTCCTAAAAATTTTAAACATGTTTTTATCATGGCCTTTAGGTAAAACAATTATTTTCAGGCCTTTTGAATAAATTTGGGAAGACAAAAAATTAGCTCTGTACATAAGCAAAGTGCATCAACATTTTGACAGCATATAAATTCATGTACTTAATTCCCATAAATCAGAATACTTCTGTACTAAAGTCCTGATTCTATTCACTGTCTTAAATTCTTCCTCTATTAAGATAAGCCCTACATATTTCAGATGTGTTGCCAGTAATTGCAAAGATACAGAGGACATCAGCTCAAGAAATGGATAGCATTAGCAGCCACTGAAAGCACCCTTGATTACAGTTTCTAAGCACCCAAGATGCCTAAACCAAGTATGTTGGCAAGAAAATCTATCTGAAAAGGAAAAACACATGAAGGACGATTGCAAGACTGGAGGCAGCAACACCACGTACCGTGCCATGGAGAATGACACAAACAATATAAGGCAGACAGCAGCCACTGACCCTAATCCAACAGCAGTCATGTATTGCAGAGTGGGTGGTAAATCTGAAAGAAAATATCAATCAAGTCAAACAAACCAACCAAATAGTGCAGCATCAGTCTGCTCATAGCTGAAGTATAGCAACAAAACCCAGATTGTGGACTTATGGTTTAGTGAATGACAGTAATGGAGCTGACTACTTGGTAGTTACCATCCAGTTGAGGAATAAAGATTAATTGGAGTATTAAAAAAATTATTATGATGCTCATTTTTGGTAAAAGATATACCTGCCCTTGTAGCACTATAACACCAGTTTTCATCAGCAAATTGCACATCTCTAGAGAAGATGTCAGCCCTCCATAAAAGTTACAGAATTGTCTTCCCTCCAGATTGTAGACTGCATATCATGAAAAACCCATAAACTTCATTTAACTTTTTTTTTTTGTAGCAGGAAAAAGTGTGCTTTTAATACAGTTTTCTACCATTTTTATGACAATCTATCACACAATGTCTAGCTAGATGGCACCTGAAATAGGGTCATTTGGTTTAGATTTAATTTACAGATTTGCCTTCCACACAAGTTGAATGAAGGAATATTTCTCAAAGGATTCAGCAAGCCAAAAATACTCTCAGCCTCTCCAGCTGCAGAAGTACATTAGGGTAAAGGACACGTTGACTATATGTTCATTCAATATGAATGCAAATGGGTTTACACCAAAAGCCAAAGCCTGTCCTGCTCTGTTCTTCCTATGCTCAATCTTTTAGACTCAAAACAAAATCCACCTGTTTGTAAGACAGTCTTTGATGATGCGCTGCATGTTGATAAATGACAAATTCAGAAAAGAAGAGTCTTCTGTCTTTCCAGAGTTATTCTACAGCTATTGCCTAAACAGTCCTAGCAACGGAACTGTTGAACCTATGGAGCCCTTGAACTTAGCAGAATCTCCACAATGAACTGCCTATGTTATACTCTAAGTGTGGTGGTAAAGGAACTAGGTCATAAGAGTAATTAAAGAGTAACTAAAGAAAACCTAGAAATAAACAGAGTTGTCACCATAAGATAGATCACTTATAGTGATAATTTGATATGGAGGAGGTGCACCTCAAGCACTCCATGCACCACATGATTTGACATCATTCCAAAGTACTGTCTCACTTCCCAGCACTACTGCCTTTCCTAACTCAAATTTCTGAGATTTTCAACACAGAAGCAGATTCTAGGGCTCATAGGAGACTCCAGTGGTGGTGCTTTATTTGTCAGGGGAGGCAAATGTTTGCTTTTGCTGAGACATGAGGTCAGTGAAGAGTAGTTTCAGCTATGGTAGAAAGGAAGGAAATATGATCTCTAGTGGATTTCTAATTCCTCTGAGGTAAACTTATGGAAATATTTTAAAGTCAAAAAGTAAATAAAAATAAAACCACACTGAGAAATTTACAGGGTTTTAAAATTATGCCACTTGTATACTTAAGAAACTATACTTACCAGTATACAAATTAGCCATATTTTTCTTTTTTGCACAGTATCTTCTGGTTTTTATAAGACTGTAAAATTCTTGATGGACCATCTGAACACTCTAAAATAAAAAATATGGTCTCTAATAGCTAAAACATATTGCAGCGTTGTGTTGGTGGTTTTTGTTGTTGTTTGGTTTTTTGTATTTTGTTGTTTTGGGTGGGGTTTTATTTGTTTTTCTTTTTTTTTTTCATTTTTGTGTAGGTTTTTTAAATATAGTTTTAGTTTTAGTTGTTGTTCTTGTTCGTTGATTGATTTTTTAAATCTTTAAGCCAATTTAAAATAGGCTTCCAAAATTTCACATTTTCTGTGCTTCAAATCCTTTGTGCAGAAAAATTGCTGTAAAGATTTGGATGTGATGCACAGAAATAACAACACTGAAAATCAGGGGAAAACAGGAGAGTCCATTTTAGAATGGATTGCTGAATCCATTGGAATGGAATAGTGAAGAGCAAGGAAAATTTCCTGTCTCTAATATTTTCATTCCTTGAAGTCAACAGATCATGAATGACGAAGAAACAGCCACAGAAATGATTAGTTTATGCTGCCAAGCTAAGCCATGACAACTTAGACTTTTTTACTAAAGGAAGAATTGACTTACTTTTAATTTGTGCCCAAACAGCACAGGACTGTGTTCTTACCTAAAAAAGAAAACAAAAATCACTGTTTCTCATGAGAAAAAATTATTGTTACTAACACTCTGAAAGATCAGCCATCAAAAAAATTGATTAACAATCCTGCTCCACAGAGCATATTTTTCTATGAAATTCTATGAATATGTATTTTATAAATACAGTTCATTGTCCAAATTCCAAGATATTTTGGATGTCAATGTTATTAACTTAACATCATTCATGAAATGAAATGTCTTCTACTGTCATTTTCCTACTTTTCCCCTTACACAACTAATTAAAAAATTATGACAAACAACAGACTTTCATCAGGATCAGAAACCACTTCATCTCTGCTACAAAAATTTCTCAGACTACTGTTAAATAGTACTGCACAGATCAGTAGATACCAGAATCCTCTTATTAGATGCAGTTGTTTTATTTCACTGACTTGGAAGTGAGGCAGTTACAGTTAAAAGGTTAATCCTTTTACTCTAGAAATACATTTTGATAGTAAAATACTACTATGAAAAGAGTACTTTAGAATATGCATAAATGAGAAATTTATTCACTATTTCTTAACAGAAGCTGTTTTAATTTACTGAGATCTGTGTGTAGGTTTCCAAAATTGTAGAGAACTATTTATAAGTTACTTATGGATCAGTTTTTGCATGCTTTCTTGTTTTGTGCTGTGTACACAAAGTCCTAAAAACTCTATTTTGATGGCAAGATGAGGCACTGTTTAGGTGTTTCTTTCTTTGAGTTAGCTTAGTTCAGTTTTTTCATTTGACATTCAGGAACTGTTTTGCACACAAGGAGTTATCCCCTGTCCCATGAGAGAAAAACTTTCTACTGCTGAGACAAAATATATTATACAAAAATTTAAAACTGTTGACTCCTGAGATAGATACAACTGAAATACGAGATGATATGCAGATTTTAGAAACTTTTTATTACTAATTAAAAATACATATTTACTTTAAAATTATAAAAAATTAATGATAAAAGTATACTTTTTTTTCATAAGGCTTTCTCAGTGGAACTGGAACTGATGCTCACTGTCTTTTGGAAGATAACAACATCTGATAAAATATTTTTTTCTATGTCATTTGGAGTACTGGGACATTATTATAAAATATTTCATTAAAAATGAAAATGGGTGAATTCATCATTGCTAAGGAGTGATTTTCAAGTTCTCATACTAATCTCTTTTAGTAAATTCTAGCTCAATACAGACACTTTCAATTACTGAGGGCAGGGATGGCCATTCATTTTTAATTATTTTCTGTTGATTGACTTTTGGCATTCAGAGTTGCTTCACCATTAGAATGACATAAGTACCATTAAGGAATGTTAAGAGATATTTAAAGAGCTTCAGATTTAATCTAATTCTGTCAGCTAGGAGATCCTTGAAGTATCATAAAAAAATTGAATACCTAGCTAACATTTTCATTTTTCCCCAGCAATATTTCATTCAAGAGGTGTAAAGAAGAGGTTTTAAAACATCCATTACCTTATTCCACTCACTTATTATTTTCAAAAAAACACAATACTCTTCTCCCAGCTTTAAAGGAGCATTATAAAACTTCCCATAATAATGTCTGTCTCCAAGAGCAATTGACATATTATCAGCAACATCCTTCGCCTGAAATTCAGCTGCCACATATCCTTTAATGTCAGTGGTGTTACTAAAGAAAGCTGTAGCATCAAAGGAGTCGCAAATAAAAGTGCTTTGCAAATCCAGAGGAAGCACAATCACTTGATAAAGACTAGAGTGAAACAACAACAACAACAAAAGTAAATATTAGCCCTCATTTCAATGAAATAAGCATCAGATAATCATACTGTTTTTTTCTATTTGTAGCCTCTTAACTGTTTTTTATTAACAATGTCCAATACAAACACTTATACTAAAATATTTCTCTGTGTGTGTGTTCCACTTCACAAAATGCACTGCAGGCGCATCTTGGAGCTGGGTCTCCTCATCACATTCATGTTATTGCTATATGCTTACTGATATACAGAAGAACATAAGACTGACATACTTCAGATTATCTCCTCCTCCTCACGTTGAAGTTCACCTATGAAATAATATTTTTTCCAAAAATTACTTGTAAGTTCAAAGAAACAAGACTTTTTCTATTGAAAGGAGGAGAGTACAGGTACCATTTAAAAAAACATTAATCAAATCTGTCTTCATACCTCTCAAAACAATGTTTAGTCTATCATATTCAACTGCAGGAAGACTATTCATTAATGTTGTTACACCAGCCATTCCATGAGATGTTACTAACTTTCAAGTATTTCCTGCTTCAGTGTAATATTGAGTTACCTGTTCCTTCTGTCACCAACAGCACTCAGTAAGGTGTAAATCCTTTTACTCTAGAAATGCATTTTGATAGTAATACACTACTGTGAAAACAGTACTTCAGCATATGCATAAATAAAGATATTATTCACTATTTCCTCCGGCTCTGGGAGGGGAAATGTACTGCATGAGTTCATTGGAAAAGAAAAATCACATCAGTAGAGGTGTGTTTGTATCCATCAGTAAAGACCTACTGTAACCTCACTGTGGATAAAGAGAAAAGAAAAACAAAATTAAACCACAAAGCCAGTGGTGAAAGCTCACAATTATCCAAACTAGGATTTTGTTCCAGAAAACAAGCAAAAAGCCTGAGGTTAAATAGTATTCTGCTAAGGGGAGAGAAACTGGGAGGTACAGTTCGAGTTTTTTCTCATTGCTAAAAATAAAAAATCTTGTTACCCAAAACAGTTCTAATCTGTACTTAACATGAATCTGCAAAATGTTCTTTGAAAGGGTGAATAGCACACAGACAAACCTGATTGGTCCATTTTGATCTTCTGCTTTACGGAGTCTGAGCAAAGGTGCAGAACCTTTAACTGCAACAAATTCTACTTCTGGGAAAGGGGGATCTGAAAAGTGAACAAACATCTGTGGTTCAGAAATGTTTTAGAAATATTTCAGGCATCAGTTCCTAGCAACTTTTCGGTTCCTTTTTCAATTGCTAGCTAGTTTTTCCTCCAAAACATCCTCACTTGAGCCTTGAACCCCAAAGAGCTAAAGCCTGTAGGCAACATAAACTGGCCAAGCAAAACACAGAGGAAATATGATCATGGGCAGCCCCTGTACTTCCACTAGGTGGGAAGAAGAGAGATGCCAAAAAATGATGGTTGACTACAGAGAAATGAGCCATGAAATCTTTGTTGGAGGAAGCAGTATTATTTACTAGACTAATTGAAATGGTCAGGGAGAAGAAAAATCTGAAACTGTTCATACAGCCCATTGCAAGAAATACAATGGTATGATAAAGGAGAATTTAGTAGTGCCAAAAGTACTTTCAAGAAAGCAACTTCCTTAAATACTGCTCGTAGTCAGGTAGCAATCTCCAGGCCCTTAAATTGGATTTCAATATGGATACAGAACTCTAATCTGTTTTAGTGTGAATTTGCATCAAGGTCAAGGCTGAACAAATAGTACTTCCTCTAATTTCAATGGAAATTACAACAGCTGCACACTGATATGGAAATTACCACTACCATCCTGGAAGCAAAAATGAAAATAGCTTCAGTATGCACAGCCAAGGGGGCAGAGTGTGAAGCATAGACACCATCCAGGCCAGAAGTCTAAAAGAATTGCACAGGTAAATACAGGTACAGCTAGGCTTTTTGAACACCAGTGCATCAAGCTGCTAATGTGGTATCTGACTGAAGAGTAACAAATGCAATGCTTATGTACAGAACACCAAGGCTTCAGACCTAGAAAGAATAATCAATAGCATGAAGAGAAACAAAAGAAAATCAATGTAGATTTCCCAAAGTTAAGTGACATCAGGCAAAATATTGCTGAGATGCATGGATTTTTCAAAGAGCTGGAATACAAATAACTGCACTTATCCTTTGAAGTATAGAAAATCATTAGTTTTGCAGGAGAAAATGAGGATTTTTAGCAAAACTATCAAGAGGGTAAGTAACTGCTAAAAAGGGAGCTAGAAAATCATGTTAAAGCAGAAGTACTGGGATGCAGGAAGGTTATTAGAGATTAGTACTACTAGCATTTTGTTAACAATCATGGTGCAAAATCCCAGTATCTACAGATGAACTTTGCTGCTCAATGTTAGAAATACAGAGATTTTGCAAAAGAAGAATTCAACCACCCTAACAGCTGCTCTTCAAAACTGGGATTAAATTCACCAGTACAAAATACAAGGCTTCTAACAAGAATTTATGCTAAATATTCTAATAGCCTTTGAGTAGTAGGAATGGCATATCAGTACATCTCTGAGTGCTAGGCACCAATATGACAACAGAAAGAAAAAATACAAAAGGTTGCTCTAAAAGGCATAAGAAACAGGCTTACATAACACTAGAATAGTATCACCAAGGTACACAAGGCCCATGTGCAACCATTTCATGGTGCCTGAATTTCCAATCATCAATGTGACAAAACTGTGTGAAACCAGCTCACAGGATACAAGGAAGAGATAGATAAAGAAATCCTCTTACATGAGGCAAACAAAATTTCGGGTTTGAAACATATGAAGAGGAAATCTGAAAGATTGTATGACCTCTGCTTTAACACAGATGAAACTTGTGAAGGGATAAAACTTAAATCCAGTGTGCCCAAAATAAAGCTAACAGGCCATACAAACATCCCTAGCAAGAAAAATTTCTGCCCTTTGATAAAAGTCATCCTCAGGAGAACCTCCTGAAAGCTCACCTACCCAAATAAATTGCTTTGGTAGTTTCCTTTACCATGTTATCTTCAAAATCAGGCTATGGGTGAACTGCTAGTGAAGAAACCAGCTGTGAACATTTAGGACTGAAATGAGAGTAAGATTTATATGATGACCTACATCTTCCTCCTCAGGGAAAGCAGAAGAGCAGGCACTAACATCTTCTCTCTGATGACCAATGAGAGGTCAGGACCTGAGGGAATGGTCTGGATTTGTGTCAGGGGAGGTTTAGGCTGGCTATCGGGAGAAGGTTCTTCACTCAGAGAGTGGCTGGGCAGTAGAACAGGCTTCTCAGGGAAGGAGTCCAAGCATCAGCCTGACAGAGCTCAAGAAGGATTTGGACAATACCCTCAGAAGGATTTGGACAATGCTCTCAGGCACATGGTGTGACTCTTGGGGATATTCTGTGCAGGGCCAGGAGTTGGACTTTCACGGTCCACATGGGTTTTTTCTCAGCATATTCTATGATTCTCTGAAAGCAATTGTTCTACAGTTACTTGCTTCCCCCTAGTAGAGTCAGGGCAGAAAACCCTTTCTGAGAGTTTTCCAAGTTAATGAAACGTACTGCACAGCTGTCTGCAAGAACACAGTCTTTGCTCTTGTTCTTTTCAATACCTCTGCCACCACAGACACTGTAAAAGGTACAGGCAGAATTTCTATCTGAACAACATAAATTAACAACTAATACTTGACAGCCAATCTTTAGCCTCTTTGCACTTTGCAAAGTTAAGCAAATATTAATTAATAGACAGAAATTATCTCTTAATTTCAATGATTCCTTAGCACAGACACCGTCAATAGACAGAATGACAGGAGAATATATTTCTCAGGGTTGTTTTATCTGGTATACTTCTTCTGTCTCCTTTCCTTTGACATTCACTATCATCACAAGACACTATTATTAATTTCTCTAAAGAATTTTTCAATTTCCAAGAAAAACTTGGGAATTTCTTCTCTAATGCCAGCCGGAATGTGCATTGCATGCAATGGTTTTACATTGTTTTTACAGATAAACAGCATAAGAGGAAACAGATGTGGACTCAGGTGACCAGAAGATACTAAGGGCATAACAACTGATTTTTCTGCTTTCTGTAATTTGACAGGAAAATACAAATCATGCAAATAAGTAGCCTTCCAGAACTGACAGCCCTAGTAAGTGAGTAAAAGAGAAAAGAATCTGAAAAAAAACCACACAGTGCTGTTAAAGGATGGAGTAATTTGCTCTGTTTAGTTTCTGGTAAAAAATACTAGTTATTATTAAACATCAAGCATACAGAAGACAATCTGTTTTAATAAAAAGGGTGGACAGTTTGTAGCAATGTGAAGGACTACTACTACTACTACTACTAATAATAATAATAATAAAATTTAAAGGAATATTTTAATTTTTGGAGATCAGAAAATAAACTCTAAAGGAGTTATTCCATATGCAGTATTTGCCCACTCTGATTTTTTTAATAAAATAAGAACTTTGCCAGAAATTAAACAACTAAAAATATAATAATAAAAAATAAGTCTGCTGAGAGGTCAACGTTATTACCAGATTTAAAAATAGAACCACACAGAGCAGCTGGAGAGAAAAGGGGAATACTACAGAGAAGCAAGGACTTGCACTAGGTGAAGAAATCAAGATCCTCCACTCTGTTCACATTCTGTTAGCACTTTGCCTTTCTGAAAGAATTAAATTTTTTAAGTCTTCAAGTGCAGAACAGACTAACATATCTGTAACAACATCAGGAAAACAGAGAAGAGCATAGCAAAAAATGAACTATATCCGGAGATTGTTTTACTCTAAGCACTTTCTTGTCATAGCAGTTAGTAACACTTGAACATTTAATATAAAGGCTAATTTTCTACAATAAGAATCCATCTACTGGTTTTCTCTCTGAACTGGAAGGCAAGCTACAGGGAATAAAGTGCATGCCAGGAAGTGCTTCCTGCTGCAGCAACACTGAGAATCATCACATGCCTCAGTGCTGGAGCTAAAGCCTGCTTGGTGTTATACTTTAAGTGCAATGACAAAGCTTTAAAAACAGTAATGGAATTGAACAACAAAGTCCAAAATCAAATGGTAACTCTTCGCCAAACTTGATACTTCAAAGAATCCAAATCAAAGACTCTTCTTAAGACTAGGTTTTAAATAAAACAACCCATTAGTGAAACAAGACCATTTGCATTATCTTAATTCCCTGCAAACAATGGATTTCTTTCCTGCGAAGCCTACATAACTCAGGTCAAAGTCACAAGATGCTTATATAGCTTGAGTTATAAGACATAATCTGATATATCTATATAAAGTGAATCATAACTTTCTATATGTAAATAACCTGACTCATAGCCTTTTATATCTATATAACATGAATCATAACATTTTATACCTATATAACCTTATATAAATAACTTTCTAGACAATGTAATGGCTAGTATATGGTTAACTAGCTGCTCAATGCTGAATAAACAAAAAAAGAAGAAAAAACCACACCAGGTGGATAGCTTCAGAGATAGATAAGTACAGTACTAATGAGAAATTGGCAAATGTTAAGCCAATTAGCCACAAAACAAAGAATTTAGGCAGGTTAGAATGAGACAGACAAGGAATATCCTAACTCTGCATGCTCCAAAGACAAAGATTAAAAGTTCAAATGTGAAGAAGACCTTGGAAGCCTTCATCAAAGACCCCTGATGACCCCCAAACTGGGGGGGGGGGGGGGGGGGGGGCGATGCAAACACAGTGCAAAAGAGCTTTTTATAACCTCACGATCATACAATGTAAATTAGTTCCGGCATGTATATGATGATATTGTAGCGACATAGTGACATGAAGCCATACTGTCTATATAAATATACCACAGCACTTGACAAAGGTGGGTGAGTTAGGTGGAGATATCTCCTCACCACCAGCGCTGAGATAAACAAATGCCTGCTCTGTAGACACCGGTCTATGGGGATTTATTTCCAGCCCCTTTTAGGCATAATGTGGCTATTTGAGGGCTTTATGTCCTAAAGGTTTTTGCTGAATTTTAAAACAAGGAAGTAAAAAATACTGCTGTAAAAATAAAACTAAAATAATGTAGAGATATTAATACAACAGAAAACATTGCTTATTGTTTGTATTACTGTTCAAAGAGTAATTAACTTTACTGTACATATTTAAATATAAATGTTCTAGTACAGAGTGAC